GATGCTCATAATTGATAGCCCTGATTTGGAACTTCATCGTGACTTTCATAGTAGGACTTTCTTTTACAGTACAAGCTTGTCAGGTATAGCAAATAAAAATACAGTACATTCAGCTAAATATGCATACTTTATAATCATATTAAAATCACTGATTATCTGAAATTCAGATTTAATGGGATACCTGTTTTCTTTTTGCATGAGGGTCTCTAAGAATACTCTGGGTCTGATTAGACAGAACTAGTAAAACCTGAGAATTCAAATTCAACAATGCCAGGGTAGGTGAGAATGAATATTACTTCCAACAAATTACAAACAAGGTTTGAAATTAATAACGGGAATATTAAGGCTTGCAGTATATGAAGCTGGTTAGTATATGACACTAAATTAACTTTACATCCTTCAGCATTGCCTGTAGCAAATAACCAAAGGATACCTGGCACAAGTATGATATGCATTTAGTAAACATGTGTTCACTGACAACAAGACAATGCAGGACAAGCCAGTTCATTTCACAGTTTCTATCTAAGGGTCTAGATAAAATATGGGTAGCAAAAAGCTGGCTTGATGAGCAAATAATTAAAGTAATAATGTAAGACTATCTTTTCTTTGGATGAATTGCAAGTAGTAAAAGGAAATCATATTTATGGAACCCAATAAAGAAAAGCTCTCAAGAACTCTAGTGCAATAAGCATTCTTACAAGGAAGCCATCAGCCAAAAAAAAAAAACCAAACTTCAGATCACTGCAGATCACCTGGGAGTGAATGGAAATTCTATGATTCACATAGCTTGTTGGAAGAGCACATTCTTTTTTTTTTTAAGGTCAAAATAATCTATAAAGAAAATAATCCACCCTGATGAAGCTGCTGTGTGGTTCATTAAGCTATGTAATGCATTTTAAATATATCAATTTTTACATTCTTTCCAAATGCTTAACATGATATACCCAACACCCAACACACCTAACTAGATAGAGTTGGTTTGTAATGGGGGGGGGAGTAGAAAAGGGGTAGTTTTATCAATTTGGTTTCGTCAGAAGTTAAAATTACTGATTTACTAAAGGGGGAAAATGCTAAATAAATTACCTTTCTAAAATCTGCTCACCTCTTTTATCAAGTACAAAAATATACATCATCATGAAAAAAACCAATTTCCCAGTTGTCTTGGCTGATCAATAAATATTTCCTAAAACCATTTAAAATTTAGTTTATGTCTTCACTTTTATTACTTTATTTACCTTCACTTTAACAGTTAAAAAAGAAAGACTTCATCTGGACTATGGGTATTAAAATTAACTTCCAAATAATAAACAATAAAAGTAGTTTAGGTATAGCAGTTACAGCTTCTAATTTTTCACAAAGGCAGGAGCTCCTATCAGTAATACTTTTCAAGAGAAGCAGAGATTGTTCAGGGTTTATGAACAGGAAACACTAGTACCCCCACGCACCTGCTCTTCTATCACTAGGCATACAGAAGTAATACTGGCTGACTTTTAAGATTATAGAAAATTTGACTGAAGCTTCAATTCTGTGAGAGGTAAAATTACAACTCTAGTATGGGGAGAAAGAGTTAAAAAACTGAATTTAATAAAAACATGTCACCAAAAAAGGAGCCCAATTGATGCATGTATCCTGGTATCTTACTTTGGTACTTTGGAAATGAAAACTGTTGAACTTAAAAATCTTTCCCTTCTCAACCCCCAATCCAAGGCTCACTCAGATAGTTTCAGGAGAATGAAGGAAAAACAAAGGAAGACAAGGCAAATGGGGAAAAAGAACAACAGAGTAGTACGGTGAATTAAATGGCACTATGTTGGAGTCCTTTATTCAAGGATTTTAACAGGTATGTGACAAAATTAGAAATTCTGAGCTACTTTTGGTCCACCAAGTTTTTATAAGTATGGATATTACATACCAAAAAGGTTAAATTAAATTATACTCAATAAACTATTTATACAAAAGAGGCCAATAAATTTCTAAAAATTCTTTAAAATACCTGATTTTGACACTTGGTTAATTTTTAGCAGCCGTTATCAAAATTTTTTAAACCCCACAGTAACAGGTAGAGTGTACTTAGTTCTGCCATGAAACATTTCTTACTGCCGTTTCACACACACTTTCAGAGGGAAAAATAAAATCACACTGGAGGAAAACCAAGTCATTTCTTCTGTGCCCCTACATAAGGCGCTGTGCTGTGAGGGCAGCCAGAGACTTGAGCAAGATAACTGGAGACGTGTGTGCTCTCAGGACTCCCGTGCAGGAGAGGGGTGAAGCAAGGAAGTGAGATGCTGGTGGCAAACAAGTGGGCTCTCTCATGCCACTAACACCTGGAGGGCAGAAGCCCAGCCCTTCCAGTCCTGTCTGTGCTACATCATGGGGAATGGGGGCCTGGCATACCTGCATATGTATATTCTGAATCATGTACAGATGTGGCCCTGTTGTGAGGGTGAAGAAAGAGGTCAAGATGCTAATATGTGAGGGGAAGAATTAGAATTAATTTTGCTTTGATCTGAGAAACCCCAAATTAATATCGTAGAATCAGGATATTTAATGATACAGTAAGAAAAAGCAGAGTCTGGTGTAACAGAAATATCTTATTGCAAATACTTGAAAATAATCACTGGCCACAAATAATGTAGGTTGTTCTGGAAGAAACACTGCATTTATTTTCATTATACTGCTAACGTAAAAGACACATGGAAGTCAGACAGGCAGAACAAATTTCAGTTACAACTTTTATACTCACAAGACTCCCAGATAGATGACATTAATACAAGATGGCTTTGGGGGAAAAAATGAGTAAACAAATGGAAAAAACTTTTTTTGTTTAATGATTACCCCCTTTATTGTTCATCTATTGTCCCCTTTGTTATTTTTAACATGTAATATTTACTAAAGACTGTATATGTTTCCTGGTCATTCTGACTTTGAGGAAGAGCCAGAAGTCACAATGCCAGAGTGTGTAAAGTGGATGGGGTCACAGCAGAATATTTTTATTGGACAGAAAGTGGCATAAACATTTTGCATCAATCCAGGGCATCGAGGCAGCCACTACAGTGCAACTAAAGACAGTTACATAAGAGGACTTCCAGAACTGCTTCAAGAAAGTGGCGAGAATGATGGGATAAATTTTATTTAAACACTCATCGTATCTTTTGATCAGCCCTTGTATATCCTCAGTGCTGGAGTATAATTACTATTAATCATAGTTTACTGATGAGAAAACTGAAGGTCACATTGCATTAAGGTGGCACTGAAGAGGTAGAATGCCGTCTCAAGGCACAAGAGAGGCTGTGTGTTGGACTCACAATAGTCCATGCCCACACTCCCTGAAGATGGGCTGAGGATGATAGACTGTACCTATTATCTAGAAAAACCCGTATTTCTTTTATGGAAAGAAGGATGCCTGGACAATGTTATGGGCTGAATGAATCATATCCCCCAAGAATTCACATGTTGAAGCTGACACCCGCATAGCTCAGAATGTAACTGGACTGGGAGATAGTGCCTTTAAAGAACTGACAAGTTAAAATAAGACCCTTAGGGTTGTGATTCAACCCGATCTGATGGGTGTCCTTCTAACAAGATGAATTGAAGATGTGTAAGAAAATGCCACAAGTGTGCACTACAGAGAAAAGACCAAGTTAGGGTGGCTATTTGCAAAAGAGAAAGGCCTCAGAGTGAAACTAATCCTGCTGAGAACTTGATCTTGGAATTCTAACTTTCAGAACTGTGAGAAAACTAATTTCTGTTGGTTAAGCCACATAGTCTGGGGCATTTTGTTATGGAAGCCCTAGTAAGCTAACACAGGAAGAAAGAAGAAATCGTCCAACAAAGTAAAATACACAGACTGCAAATGTAACAGCCAGGAGCTCATCTGTTCTTCAAGACTGCACTGAGACTTGCTATAGAATTTGGCCTTGTTAATGAAGCAAGAAAGAGTTGCATCCTTGAAGCATTAAGGGACTGTGGCAATGCTGTCCATGCACATTCTTTCCAATACATTCCCTTCATGCTATTATCTCTCTCACACAGGAACGTGGCCTAAAAGTCCCTGCACCTCCAACACACATGCCTTAACAAGCAAGGTACATGATAAATTAAAAGCATTTCAAGGCATGGCCCAAGGTTGTTACCTCAGATCTTGCTAGAATAACATGACATTTATAAAAAATACAACCCACTGGATGTTTGGCACTGCTTGGGAATGAAGAATATGTCCACTTAAGAGCCAATACCCCAGGCTGTCAAAAAATCTCCAGCCAGGATTTCTTTTATAAACATTACCTATCTTTTTAAATTCTACAGTCTAGGAGGAGAAAAAAGGGTCTGCTTATTTCAAATCTCCATTTGCCTAAACATAATAAACAAAAACCATTCACAAGAAAATGTAAAATCTGGCAAACTGCCTTCACACTATATCCTTTGCTCCGGCTCCCCTACCCCAATGACACCCACACAGAGCTCACACTCTACCCGTGGTGCCCACCTCTAATCCCAGTGCACACTGAAAGGAGCAATTTACACATTATTTTTTCAGATACTAGCCACATAATGTTCCTGTTCACTTTCTCACCCACCTTGCACCATACAACATTTAACATCTGGAGGATAAACTCAGACTCTAACACATACGACTAGGGTGCATAATCACTGAGGAGTTTTCAAGCAAGGGATCTGCCGGCTTCCCTCTAAGGTCCAGGCCCTGAAAGGCCAATTGTGGTGTGTTTGAATTTCCATCAGCCCTGATGCTTGCTGGCTGCTGCAATGCTCAGTAGAACCCATGGCCCAGCTGTCCTATAAACATCTCCCCTTCTGCACAGCTCTGCTCGCCTTACTTCTAGAAGCAGAGAATCCACTGTTTGAGAGTCTCAGGCAGAATGTTAGCTAACACTTGGAGCACAGCTGACCACTCTCTTCTCCAGGCCAGTGATTGCTGTGAAAACACACACACATTCACACAAACACAATGAGACCGGAAGAGGAGCCCAGGTTTTCCTCACCATGTGCCACCCAGCCATGTTTACACTGATCGCAAGTCCTCAGGTTAATCTTCCCCGGCTGAAAACACTCACACGTGCAATTTACCAGCGTGCATCGGATGGCCTGGAAAATAAAGGAGGAAAAAAAGATCAGCATCTGTAAAACGGTACTATACTTTCCCACTATTTTTAATGAATAATGCCCACTTGTATTTTAAAAAGCTTTATGGTAGTAGAGGCCTAGAAAATTTTGAAAATAAATTTTGCTATCAAAAATCTCTTACAAAACAGAAAGCTCATTCACTAACATAACGCTTTAAATCATTCATTTAACTTTTAAATTAGAAATGCAGACCAAGTAATACGACATAATAATATGAGAATAAAGGATCACATATTCCACAAGACACTAAATTTCCAACAACGAAGAGGGGAAAAATACTGCTAATATATATTTCCATTTTTATCCACTTCCTAATAATGCAGAGAAAAATACATTCTAAGATAATATTCAAGTTAAATGTTTTTGAAAGTAAAATACGGCAGACAAAAATTATTATTAGAACATCACTTTCCTTCTGCTCAATTTCAGTTACAGTTTGAAAGATATTCTTGTTGGCGTATTAAGACATAACATTTCTATTATTATTTATCACTTCTCAGTTCCTTGGGGTTTTATTAATTCTATTTCCATTCTTATATTGAAAAATATAAACATTCTTCCTATTTTAATGGCAATTTAAGAAAATAAATTTGTTTGTTTTTGTACCAGATATAAAATAAAAAAGCCATTTACATGAACTTCTACCTGGAACAGTACAACTGTATCTTAGAAAACTAAAACACATTCAAAACATTTTTACTTCCTTACAGTACTTCAAAAAATCATATCATTTTATGCTATAAAGTGAATCCACAGAAAATTAGCACAAATGGAGTGTAACTTTTTGTGAATAGAAAACCTATGCTTAAGAATTGTGCTAAAGCTGACCTGTGCTCCCAGACTACATTTAATAAATTTATCTCATACATTTAGCTGTAATTTGCATAATAATTCTGAAGACAGAAGGGATTTGATCTGATCATTCACAGATTAACAATCTACTGTAACTACTTGAACTGCCTGGAAAAGATTTCTCTACAGATTTAGATGTGGTCAATGATTACTGGTTTTGGAGTGGGGTATGGGTCTGGATTACCTGAAAATGTGGTTCTATACCTGAAAATGTGGTTCTGTGCCTGAAAGCTAGACTCACGTGCTCCAGATGCTCACATTCCTGGAACCATCTGAATTTTACATAAACCAACTCATTTGTAACAGGCAGTATTTTTAATACCGTTAACATGATCAGGATAAATCCTGTAACAGAGACTAAATCTGAACATGTGGGCTTCTGCTGTCCCCCATATTTTGGATCAGACAAGGTTAAAGTATCTCTACTAAATTAACCTTAACTCATGGATGCTTATTTTGTTTCGGATGTTAAGAGTTCTCACTGGGTACTCCTTTCACCCTCCATTTCCATCCCTAATTTACTCTTCTGTTCCCTCTAGGGAGATATTCAGTAGTATAATCTGCCTGATATATCGGGGATTTTCTTTCAATGTCAATTGTCCAACTGCTCAGGAACTACAGTGTAAAATTTTACTGTATGAATTAGTGATTAAAGAATGCATATGTTATAAGACGACATAATTATTCTGGAAGTTATTTCAATTTCAATTGTTTATTAAGTAAGCAATACATCAGAATGTCCCAGTTTGGAAGTAGTTTCTTTACATAACATGTTCATTAGCTAATGAACTCACCACTTTTGTGCTGTGACCACAATACAGAGTTTACACTAAAAACGAGTCACTTTAAAAAATATCCAATTATAGGGCCAGGGATTTAGCTCAGTGGTGCCATGGCCTGCCTTGCAAGCGCAAGGTCCTGAGTCTGATCCAAAAAAAAAAAAAAGCTACAAAAGATATCCAATTACAGATTCAGATGTGGGAACTACATTGACATTAAAACACCTGAACTGAAATAATGAAAGTTTACATAAAGGGTTTGTTAGCAACTCTCTGCTTTAATACAACCAAGAGAGAATAAAAATAAAGGATCTTTCAAGGACTCTACTTAACTCCAGCATATATACAATTTAAATCACTAATTTTATGATAAAATTACTTTACAAAAATGTTCTAATTTTGTATTCTGATTAAGGCACAGCTTCAAGATAGGTATATTCGAGGCCAGAACAAGAGACTACATATGTTTTCTTTCACTGTGGCTGAATCATTCATTCACTTACACTGAATTAGTTCATGATTCAAATATTTTCTCCTCCTAAATAATTTTATATATGTGGTACATTTGGGGATTAAACTTTTCAGACCATCATTCCCTTTTATATTCCACTTTTTTGTACCTAAACACATAAACATTGGAACACCTCACTTCCTTTTGTATATGAACATGTAAGCACTGGAACAGCCATTTTGTATCTCTATGAATTCCAGGAGGTCTATTTGTTTTAAATTTAGATTTATATAGACTACAATTGTTCCTTAAGGGAATTACATATATTTAAACAATATGATCTAAATAAATATTCTGAGTAAGAGACTACTGTGGCTTCAAAGGAAATTTTATCCTAAGTGATATTTTTGAAATGCCATAAACTTTGACATACTATTTATTTACAACAAAACAGAACCAGTATGATCACTTGCCGATTCATCCACACTTAAACAGCATAAATTATCATAAAACTATCAAAGCCAATTAAGTCCCTAAGATGTACATATATCCAAGGAGTCAGGAAGAGTGGAAAGGAATGCATTTTCACCCTTGAGAGCTCATCCACTTGTTCCTTCCTTTGCTGTCAGAATGCCTCCCACTTCCTCTAGGCACTCCAGACAAGACCAAGCTGCTCGAACCACATGATCTGAACAGTTCAGCCAGGCTGCTGCCACTTCTCCATGCAGGGACTCCAGGACTCCACATCACCATGGGCACCCTGTAACTCTTTTCTCAATTCTAATGCGACCACCAATCTCCCAACTCCCAAAGAATAATAAATTTTTTCAGCCTGCAACTTACTGAGAATAACTATTACTTCTGCTTACCTCTACCATGGATTTCTTGAAAGATAAATCCATGTACTCACCAACCAATGTTTCCACTTCCTCACCACAACCTACATTTTAATTCTGCAACCTGGATTCTGCTACAAACATTTCTGAAGCTGTGCTCTCTGAGAAACAATGTTCCCATCATATCTGGTCCAGTTTCCGAGGCTCCCTGTCCTGCTAGACTTTAATGCAGCCTGCAGCACTAACTCTGCTCCATTCTTGGATGGGAGAGACAACTATCCCTAGTCTTTCTGGCAGCAACTTCTCACTCTCCACTGTAAATAAATACAGGTGTTTCCCACAGCAGAACACTTTCATTTTCTTTAATTTGGCAATTTTATCCTCTCCTACAGCTTCAAATATCATCTCTATGCAAAAACCATCACTTTGGAGCCAGGCACCGTGTCAAGTGGTAGCAAGCGAATGGTGGCAGCTCCTGAGCCAGGCTTCACGGTTTGCTGTTTGTGGGCAGTGAATGAGCTTAGAATGGAGAGACCCCAGGCACCAAAAGGAAGCCTCTCAACAGGTTTGAAAAGCACCACCCCTTCCCTCTATTTTTCTGTCTGTTCTACCAAACACCATGATTTGATGTTATTAATATTAGCTAGATTTCATTTAAATATTTGCCATTTTGCAGACATTGGCTAGGTAGTTTATAAACATTAGCTATCTGTGTCCTCAGAAAATACCAATAATAGTAATACTATTATTCCTTTTATTTCACAATTGAGGAAACCAAGGTAGAGATAAACTACTCGGTCTCAGGTGCAGGTACTGGTGTTTGTGAGTGCTGCACCCCACCCAGTTAGGGATCATGAGTTACCCCACTTACAGAGAAGCATTTGTGGGCCAAAGTCTTCACTGATGTTTTACCTTCCTGCAAAAGTGATCTCACCTTGTCTTTCCTGTCTTCCACTCTTATTGTTACTAGTACTGCTTCTATACCAGTGGCTCCTAATTAATTCCTCTTTGCTCTCCATCCAAATATATTCTCTCTTCTCAGAGTGTCACACATTTGATATTTCTTTATGGCATCTGCTTTACTGAGGTCATCTTTGCCCACCTGTCAGCTTCTTCCTACTACAGCAAAAGCCAGTGAGTGGATGGCAACCCTCCCTGGTTTGACAGCAAATCGACCCCATCTCCAGTCGTAGAATGCTGTCTACCTGGTCACTTTCCAACCATCAATCTGCATTGTTAACTTCCGCTCATCACATTCCAACCCAAGTACTTCCGGTGACTTCCAGGCCAGGCCCTAGTCTCCCATCCAGTAAAGTTCTACCAGGGTCTCCTGAATCACAAATGATCTGTCATAGCACTTGTCACAGCTTGTGACTATATTTATCTGTGTGATTATGTGCTTTGTAACTGTGCCTCTAAAATTTAATGACCAAGAGGGCACAACAATAAGTCTGTTGCACTTACAATGTGTACAGGCAAATAACAGGTGCTCAACAGGCACTTAAAGAAATATAGTACATGAGCCTTGGAGCCCCTTTTCTCAAACAAAGGCACTACAGTTATAACACTGCAACTCTGTCAAAAGACTTAAATGAAATGCTGAATATAAAGTACTGGTACCCTGCCTGGAAACAAAAGCTCAATAAACTATAAACTTTTATGGTTTCAAGAAACTTTCCACATACTATATTTGAAAGGTGCTTTTTTCCCTCATAATTTCTTCCCAATGTATTGAGCTTTATTCCAATATATAGTAAAATACTTAACACACATTTAGTCTTAATAAATAAATGAACATTTGGACATACATATTCATATTATAATACTCTTAAGTGAACACAAAGATGGTTATTTGTGTTTTAAGGCCCTCAAATGTTGAAGTGGACAGGAAGACAAATCTATTACTCAGTTTTTTCCACTATCTATGGAAAAATAAAGAAAACATACAAATAATAAATTTAAATTATTAAGTACTCATATTAACAAGTACATCTATGTGTGGTGGTATACAACTCTGGTTCCAGATACTCAGGAGGCTAAAGG